AACACCCAGGTCATGGCCAGATCAGCTGTGGGGGACATCGTGGCCTCGTGAGGGACAAGCCACCTAGAAACAATTCAGGTAGTCGGTGTGGAGGAAGTTCAGTTGTTTTGGTTGAAAAAAATGCTTTACAAAAATAACAATTCTTAGCAATCTGGGGGGAGGGAAGGAAGCTGTTGTATTTTTCATCTTTCTCAGTTCTGTTTGAATTTTTTACACTGCATGTTTCACCCATTATCCCTATAAATAGAGTGCAGTAATTTGTTTGTTTTTTCATTATTCATTTTTAAAATTTAATTATCCTATTGAGATCACCTGGGCTTATAACACTGTGAATTTCAGATGTAAATTATTATATATCAGTTTCTGTATAGAGAGCATACTAATTTGTGCTTATATTGAAAAATTTAGAAACCATCAATAAGCAAAATTAAAAATTAAAAACCTGTAATTCCAGGGCTCAGAAACAACCACTGATAACATTTTCCTGTGTATCCACTTTCTCCACTCAGTATGTTTCCATGTAAACATTTTTCACAAGAGTAGGCTCACTTTGATCTTACTGTTTTGTAACCTGAGTTTTTTTTTAAAGATTTTATTTTTTCCTTTTTCTCCCAAAGCCCCCCGGTACATAGTTGTATATTTTTAGTTGTGGGTCCTTCTAGTTGTGGCATGTGGGACGCCACCTCAGCATGGCCTGATGAGTGGAGCCATGTCCATGCCCAGGATCCTAACTGGCGAAACCCTGGGTCGCCAAAGCGGAGCCCGCGAACTTAACCACTTGGCCACGGGGCCGGCCCCATAACCTGATTTTTTGGTCTACACATCAAGACCACAATCCTTTTCACAATGCTGTGTTCTTCAAAATCAGTTTCAATGGCTGCATGCTATTCCATTATATACATACACCATAACACACATAACTAATCTCCTATTGCCTGGCACTAGATTGTCCTAAGCTTCCTTTTGCTTTAACAGGGTGAGAATGACATATTCATGGAGATGTTTCATTGGGGTTTGACTACGTAATACTTCTTGATTTATGGAAGTTCAATTAAAACCTTTCTAATTGGAATTTTATGGAATGTGGATTATACCTTAATAAAAACCAAACAAAACCCTTTCTAGTTGAGAGTTAGAGGACCAAGATTCCAGTTATTGCCATGTTACCTCACGCAAGCGTACCTGTGGTGTGTGCTTTTTCTCAGACACTTGTGTAACAACACCCAATGCTCAGGGTGTCCTGAGCTTCAGACGAGACGATGGATGTGAAAGAATGCATGCTGGAAACTACAGTGCTGTTCTTTATTCACAATCACCAAGGCAGGAAACAACCCCTTCCACTGGTCACCGGTAAATGGATTAAAAGCATCCTAAAACTGGGATGTATCTGTACTATAGAATAGGAGCCAGGCACAAAGAGGAAAGAAGTACTGACATGCGAATGACACAGATGAATCTGAAAAACATTACGCTAAGCGGAAGAAGCTGGGCACGAAACACTGAATGACTCCATTTACACAGCATTCTGGAAGAGGCAGACCTCTGCTGTGGGAGTCAGGGCCGTGGTTGCCAGGACTGGGGGGAGGGGAGGGAACTGACTGCAGAGACTCACGAGGGGACTTTTCAGGGAGATGGAAATGTTCTACATCTTGACTGTGGGGATGGTTACACAGCTGGATACATTCATAAAACTCACTGAATTTTGCACTTAAAAAGGGTGAATTATACTGTATGTAAATTATGCCCTAATAAACTTGACTCTCCTCAAAAAAAAACTATAGTGCTGTCTAAACATAAGGTATCATCCATCTGATATTATCTGTAGCACTTTTCATAGAAATTCTGAAATACCTTTGTGAGATATGACAAATGTAAAAAAATGTAATCCAGAAAAGAACAAATATTCTTTTTTTTTTAGATTTTATTTTTTTTTCCCTTTTTCTCCCCAAAGCTCCCCAGTACATAGTTGTATATTCTTCGTTGTGGGTCCTTCTAGCTATGGCATGTGGGATGCTGCCTCAGCATGGTTTGATGAGCAGTGCCATGTCCGCGCCTAGGATTCGAACCAATGAAACACTGGGCCACCTGCAGCAGAGCACACGAACTTAACCACTCGGCCACGGGGCCGGCCCCTGATCAAATATTCTTTAGGAAAATATTTGTTGTTGGATTATTTGCCTTTCAGAAAGGCCATTTCTACACTCTAGCAAATGCTCATGTGTGAGGCAGCTGGTCCCCCTGGGGAGCAGCTGACCACTTGGACTATTTGGGGATTTTCCTTGTCATCACTACCTTCTTCTTGTTTTTTTTTTAACATCATCAGAATAAAAAGAAACAACAGCATCAGAACGGAGCAGCGAACGTCTCCCTGACCCCAACCAGGACAGTCCTTCCTCCTCCAGGGAAAGAATATAGGCATTTCTAGTTATCTTCTCTCGGCCTGGCCATTGCCATCGGAATGAACAGTATGCTCCAAAAGTAAATAAAATACAAAATAAGAATACCTGCAGCTGAAGACTAGGTTAACAGCAGCATTCTAAGCAGAAGAGGAAAAGAGTGAATCGATGCAAAGATGAAGTGCTGAGAGTAACAAGGAACTCGCTCGAACCCCCAGAGCTGCGGCAGCACCCCCACCGACTGGTCGACAGACGCCGACCAATGCTCCTTATTCACAGGCTACATCTGTGACAATTCCAATACAGCCAAGGGGCTGGACTAGTTCCTGGAGTTCATAACGAGATTTGAACCACCGCAAATGGGAGTGTGCATGCGATTTCCTCTTGCAGAGCACAGGGTGGCTGAAAAGACAAACTGTCAGGTACCTGTGTGCACAGCTCAGGGTGCTCCTCCCCCCGGGCCCAGCGGAGCCTTGCCCGTAGGAGGCGCTCCAAGAGTGTTTGTGGAATCAGGGAGCAGGGCGTTCAGCTGCTCTTGGAAGATGGCCTCTGGAAGACCAGTGCCCAGCCTGGCTGCCTTACGCTAAAGACTTCTCTCTGATCTATGTTAAAACTGACCAACCATCAGACCAGCTTGCCCAGACTCCTTCTCCTAAAGCCAGGCAGGCGTGTGAACAGTCCTGCCGTGGAGCCTACAGGCAGCCTCATTTCACCTCCACCAACAGCAGCACCTGTTCCCCGGCAGGGGTGGGGAGGAGGGGAGCTGACTTGTGCCAAGTGTTGGGGTTACTCAGGTGAAAGGCAAGGCTCTTATCCAGAAGCCCACAGGCTAGTGGGGAAGCGAATCCTGGAAACAAGTAATTATGATAATTTGATAATGAGCTCCCCATTAGTTGAGCAGGCACTGTGCTACGTGATAAACCCAAGAATCCTGTGAGGTGAGAGCTATACCCATTCTAAAAACGGGGAGACTAAGGTCCTGAGAGGTTAGGAGCTTGCCTGCAGTCACACAGTTGGTAAGCAGAGGAGCCAGGACTGGAACCCGGGGTCTGACTGCAGAGCCCACACTCCTGGCCCCTGCAGCAGAGGAATGAAGGGGACCCAAGGGGCGTTTACTATGGCCTGGGGCTGTCGGGGGAGGCCCTCAGAAGTGCCCTGGATGCTGCAGCCTGAAGTGTGGGGAAGCACTGTGGGCCCAGAGGCAGAAGAAATAGATGCGCTCGTGGCTTGGCAGCCGTCAGACGCTCTAGTATAGGATGCCTGCCGGGGCAGTGGAGATGGAGCGGTGGAAGATGTGGCAGGGCCAGACTGTGGGGCTTGGTGTGCTAAGGAGTCTGGACTTTACCCTGGGTACCGTGCAGAGCCATGAGCACTTGGGTCTGTCGGCTGACAGACCTGCCCACAGAATGCTCACCCATGAGACAGGACGGACTGCAGAAGCTATGAGGTTGGAGACTGCGGTGGGGCCATCAGGAAGCCCTTCTTGTGAGCCAGCTGGGGCCGGAGGGAGGGCCCAAACTGGGCAGGGCAAGGAGCTCCGTGGTCAGAATCTGTCCAGCGGCTAGCTGGGTGCAGCTCCTATGCAGCACCCTGGCTGGGACCGTCACTGGAGGGTCTGCTGTCTGAATGCCCTTCAGGTCTCTCAGGACCCCATTTCTGAACCAAGCAGGACTCCATGCCTCACAGGGCAGCACTGAACACTGGCCAGTGGCCAAGGTTTCCATCTCCAGGCCTCAGTTTCCCCATCTTTAACATAAGTGGGTGGAATTAGATTGTATTTTAGGTGCCTTCCTGTCCTGATGTTTTGTGAATTCTTTTTACAGTAGATTCTCATGGTCTCAAGCACATGAAGCCCTCAGAAACCTCGTGGACACATTTGGACACTCTGTCCAATGGCACTGATATGCTCTTCTTTGGGAAGTGTGGACAGTAATCTTGCATAAATTGGAATAATCTCTGTAGAAGCCAGTTTGGTACCGTGATGGTTAATTCTGTGTATTAACTTGGCTGGGCCACTGTATCCAGATATTTAGTCAAATATCATTCTGGATGTTTCTGTGGAAGTGTTTTTGGGACAAGATAAACATTAAAATTGGTGGACTTTTGAACCGGAGTAAAGCAGATTCCTCTCCATAATGTGAGTGGGTCACATCCAATCAGTTGAAGGTCTTAATAGAACAAAGACGGGTTCCCCTGCCACAACTATGTGAGCCAAGCCTTTAAGATCAATCTCTCTCTTTCTCTCTCTACATACACACACATACGTCCTGTTGGTTCCGCTCTCTGGAGAACCCTGACTAATACCGACACTATTTATCAAAATTGCAAATGCTGGTTATCACCCATCCACATATCAGAATGTGCTGCCACCGCAAAAAAAGGGATGGAGGCTCTTTATGCACTGATATGGGAAGATCTCCAGTATGTAAGAATAGCGTGTATGGTGTATAATCACCTGTGTAAACAACTAAAAAGAGTAAAAATTAAAATTCCCTTTGCTTACGTGTGGGGGAAAAAGCCCTCTAGAAGGAGACCAAGAAACTAATAGCTGGGGTTACCTGCTGGGCAAGGGCAGTAGGGGAAGTGAGTAAATGGGAGACAGGGTAGAGGGACGTTTTTGCTTTATTCCTTTTTACGTTCTTTGATTAGTGCACATATTCTTTGAGCCAGCAATTCCACATCCACATATCTACCTTATCAATATACCTCCACGCATGCAGTGACCACATACGAAACATTCAGCTGCAGCACTGTTTATAAGAGAAAAAGAACGGAAACACCCTAAACACCTATCAGCAGGAAACCAGTTACATGAATCACCCCTTCGAAGAAACATGGTGTATCTGTTACAAAGAATGAGGTTGCTCTCCCTGGTCTGATATGGAATGATTCCCAAGTTAAATGAAAAAAGCAAGGTGCGGGACACTGTGTATACAAGGGGCAGGATGCTGTGTGTACAAGGGACAGGACGCTGTGTGTACAAGGTGTGGGATGCTGTGTGTACACGGTATGGGATGCTGTGTGTATAAGGTACAGGGTGCTGTGTGTACAAGGTATGGGATGCTGTGTGTATAAGGTACAGGGTGCTGTGTGCACATGGTGTGGGACGCTGTGTGTACAAGGGGTGGGACGCTGTATGTACAAGGTGTGGGATGCTGTGTGTACAAGAGGTGGGATGCTGTGTGTACAAGGTATGGGATGCTGTGTGTACAAGGGGTGGGACGCTGTGTGTACAAGGTGTGGAACGCTGTGTGTACAAGGGGTGGGACGCTGGGTGTACAAGGGGTGGGACGCTGGGTGTACAAGGGGTGGGATGCTGGGTGTACAAGGGGTGGGATGCTGTGCGTACAAGGTGTGGGACGCTGTGTGTACAAGGGGTGGGACGCTGTGTGTACAAGGGGTGGGATGCTGGGTGTACAAGGGGTGGGATGCTGTGTGTAAAAGGTATGGGATGCTGTGTGTACAAGGTGCGGGATGCTGTGTGAATAAGGTATAGGACACTACTGTCTATGCGGGAAGAAAAGTCAAACTCTGTGACTATGTGCAAATGCATGAACTCTTCCTAGAAGCAGAGAGGATAAACTAGTAACAGTGGTTGCCTCTGGGGAGGGGCAGCAGGGAACGGAGGGGAAGAGGAATTCTGTACACTGCAGCTTCTGAATCATGGCATGTATCATCTATTCAAAACTTTTAAAAAATTCTGAGGAAGGGGGGGAGGGGAGAAGTCACGTGCGAGGGTGGGGGCTGAAGTCATCTGAACACACAGCAGTCGTATGCTCTGCTGTTCACGATGTTTTGAACCCAAATTCCCCTGAACTGCTCTTACAAATTCCATCTTGGGACCACAGCTAATTTCGCTAGAGACCCCCGACCAGGAAGACAATTTCTGAAGATCAGAGCACGAGCTCTCTGCAAGGCAGATGACTTCAATCCACGCACAGAGACAACTGGATTCTGGCCTTTTCCCCAGAACCTGTTTTATTCATCATCTAACCAACAGAGAGGGTCAGCTAGACAAGCTAAAATAGCCTCAAAAGGCCCACCTCATTACAACACAACAGGGCAAACCAGAAACGAGGACAGAGGTCAGCCTCCGTTCTTGTCAGAGGAGACCGAGCACGTATTTATACACAGGTGCCCCACTAACAACCGCTGAGCAACGCAGCACCACAAACACATGGTAGAGACGTGGCTGGGGGCTCCCCACAGGCGTCACTCACAGCCTCTTCCTCAGCCATAAACAAGCCCATGGTTTTTTGTGGGAAGGGTGATCAGCGCGTATCTTGAGTGATGGAACCATTTATTTACTCTGGAACTTTGATGGGGGTAAGGAGGGACTCAATTTATTTCCTCCCCTGAATCTGAGATGCAAAAGCCGTCTGAACATCAAAAGGGTCCTGGGAGAGAGGCGGTGGAGGTTCCCTCACAGAGAGTTCACAGGTAATTGTGTAGGGCCCTTTGAGCACTTAATCCTGTTGTTTTTCAGAAACCTTTGCACCTGGGCTCCGAGGAGGAAGCAGGGACAGATCAGGCCCTGCAAGCCCGGGAGTGGGTGCCTCTCAGGGTGGTCACTGCGGAAGAGAAGGGGGCACAGCGGAGATGCAGGGGGACAGAAATCAGCCGAAACACTCCATGCTGGCTCTGACTCGCTCCATCTCGTGCAGGAAGCTGTAGAACTGAGGCAAGGTTAATTCTGGGGAGAGAGAATTCAGCTTCAGGTAAATGTTCCAACTCCACAGAATCATCCAAGAAAATTACTTTCCACCCAGAGAGTTTTTTCTTTCTCTTCCTCTTTTTTTGGCTTCGCACATCTAGGCAGCTCTCGATGGGTAACTGACCATTATAAAGAAGTGAGAGCCTTGAACATAGAATGGTTCTCAGCTCCACAAGAAAGTAGGGAGGGTTTGAAACGGCCTAACTGCACAGCACAAAGAGCTGCAGGGGTCATTCAGGACATCCAACGGGGTCCTACAGCAAGAGCTTCCTGCTCTTCAATCCGAGCCACTACTTCCCCCTTTTCCCTTCTTCAAAAAGGCCCTTCTTTTATGAGAGGAAAGGAAGTGGTCATAACACAGCCTGGTTATGACTTCTTTTCTGGAAGAAATGACCCTGTGATGGGCTTCGCGAGCCAGTGACTGAAGAAGACGTGGGGAAAGTAAAAGGCTCAAATGAGAATTCGGACTCACCGATATATATATTTTCAGTTTGATTTCCTTTCTTAACCACCAACTTTAACTGATTAAAAAAAAAAGAAAAAAATTAAAATGATGACAACTGGGCAAAGTAATTCTGAAACCCTGAAGTTTCACTCAAATATGAAAGCATCCCTGCTTCTAACTTGAGAGTTACACAAGAGCAGTCTGGATCGTCCACCACTAAAACTTCCAACAATTCCCTAGATTACAGCAAGAACCAAACTGTTAAGAACAATATCCGGGTCCTATGAACCTGAAAGCAAACACGTCAGTGACCACGTCTTTGCATCTTTGGCCAATCATATTGCTCTGAGATATACAAGGCACTTCAGTGGAACTATCCACTTAATTGGATATTTAAAGAAACTCAATGTAGACTTAATTTTTAACCAAGTCAAAAATCTACCCATTTTCAAGGATCACGAGAAGACTTACTTGTAAAAAAATACTTCCCACTTTTTCCAGTTCACTGCTCCCAGATGTCACTGTGACACAAAAGAGAAAAACAATAAGTGACTGGTTGAGGACCACTCTGAAGACCCCAGTCTTGCAGGCTGTGCAGCAGAAGCCGTGGGTGGGGAGAGTATGAGGACAGCAAAATGCGCTTTTCAGGAAGTCAACTTATGGAGGGCCGTGGATAGAAACAGCAGCTGAACGTGGACAGCAAGACGGAGAAGCAGCTGCTGGCCCCAACCGGCTTTGAGGACCAGGGACACCTTTCCCCATGGAAGCTGTCTCAAACCCTCTGCAACCGCAACTGACATCACGCAGGTGACCGGGGACTGCCTCTAACCAGTTACCTCCAAATTTCCACTCCATGTCTATCAGCTGGTTAATCATCAGAGTCTGACCTATGGCCCATCGAGCAAGGGTGGGGGCAGTCTGCTTCCACTGGAACAAGAGCAAAAAGCCTAAGTCATAACAATGGAAAAACTCTCCCCTCTTCATCTGCCCCAAGACAGCACAGTTTAGTATTTACACAGACAGCGGGAAGAACGCAGAACCAAGGGGTGGGCCTATATGCACAGATCTGGAGGATGGGAGGAGTAAAGAGGGGCAGGGGACAATATAAAGGTTTTCTTTCATTCCAAGATTTAATGAAGCATGGAACAAAAAAATGCATGACATTTATATTCAGTCAAATCAGAGGAAAAAAAATTAGAGATGCACTACACAGTGCTGTCTAAAAGCTGGATGTAGGGGCCGGCCCCATGGCTGAGTGGTTAGGTTTGCATGCTCTGCTTCAGTGGCCCAGGGTTTCACCAGTTCAAATCCTGGGCGCCGACATGGCACCCCTCATCAAGCCATGCTGAGGCGGCGTCCCACATGCCACAACTAGAAGGACCCACAACTAAAAATACACAACTATCTACCGGGGGGCTTTAGGGAGAAAAAGGAAAAATAAAATCTTTAAAAAAGAGAAAAATAGAGGAAGATGGGCACAGATGTCAGCTCAGGGCCAGTCTTCCTCAGCAAAAAAGAGGAGGATTGTTGGCAGATGTTAGCTCAGGGCTAATCTTCCTCAAAAAGAATAAAAAAATAACTGGATGTATGTCATTTGCATGGAATCAAATGAAAAACATTAAGCTGGAGAAATGGCACATAATGATTGATGGTTTTTCCTTAGTCAACATTTCCCACTTGCTTCTTTTCATGAAATAAAAGCAAGCAATCTTAATTAACCTTGATTAAGAGGAATTATGATACCTTTTCAGAAAAGTAAGTGGCTTTCTCCTCATTAAGACCTATAAAAGAACAGAGGAGACGTTGGCATAATAAAGAGCTGCAAGTCCTGTCACTGAGCAGCCTTGGGTGATGACCTACCCAGAGTCACGAGATCGGCCCGGACCTGCTCAGCTGAGAGACTCTTCTTCAAGGCACCTAGGAAACAGGGGAACTCAGTTAAAAGGGGCAAATCAACTAAGCAGTTGGCAGTAAGTAGTTAACAGGCGAAACCTCTGTGACATAGACAACAAAAGGAAGACGCAAAGATGGCTAGCTCCAAGAGGATCTCAGTCCAGCTGGAAGAAACAGCACATCTGAGACAAGCGGAGAACAAGACAGAAAAAACCAACACGAGGGTTTACCCCTCCAGAGAGTGTGGAAGAAGTCAGAGACAAAAGAAAAGACTTCATGGACTTGGGGATGGGGGCACCTGATCTGAGCCAAGAACGAGGCCACAGATTCCTGGAGCAAAGTGCGGGGAGCTCAGTGTCAGGCTGGCACAGGGCACTGGCCTAGAACTGCCCTGTGCAATACATAACCACCAAGCACGTGCGGTTATGTAAATTTTAGTTAATTAAAATTAAATAAAGGTTAAAATTCTGTTTCTCAGTTGCACCAGCTATTTCAAGTGCTCAACAGCCACATGGGCCCAGCAGCCATGGTACTGGACAGGGCAGATTATAGACCATTTCCATCTACACAGGAAGTTCTATTGGACAGTGCCACCCTAGAAAATCAGCTTTCAGGAAGTATACCAACATGGACTAAACAGTCTGGCCTCTACAATTCACGAGTCACCTCCAGAGGAGCCCTCAACCTTTCCCTCGGAAGCCCTGGGCACACTCCCCTGGGGGGGCTGCTTTGTTCTGCTTGCAAGCTCCAGTTCCTGAAAACAAAGTGCTGCCAGCAATCTGGGCTTCTCAACGGTTAACCTGCAGGCTACAGCCTAGAGTCACAGTCTGTCAACTGCTTTAAAATTTTCCACATCTTTGTCTTCCAGAAGATGACTAATTAAAGAATAAGAAGGCATCTACCACCATCCAGGGAGGGCCCCAGAGTGATACCCTAAACCCAGTCCCCACCCCCTTCACTCCAGAAAAACAATCCTACAGGCGGTTGTCCCCTGCAAAATAAGCCACGTAAACAAAGGGAGGAAATCTTTTATCTCCAAAATCAGACTGAGCAAGGAAGCCACAGGGAAATAAAAAAGGCAAGACCCCAGGAAGCCCTGGCCATAAAGGCCCTCCGAGAAGGCGACTACTTCCAGGCCAGTCCAGTTGACTCATAACTGCCACGTGCACAGCTCCTTGGGTTATACCCACTTCAGATCCAATATTCCGTGGGATGATCCCAAAGTACTCTGAAGTGGGGATTATTACTGCAACCTTTAATTTACCAGGAAACTACAGATCAGAAAGATAAAGCTTTTGGGGACGATCATGCACATAGTCAACAACTGCACTGCCAAGAATTCACCCGACAGATACGCCCCCGAAAGTGCACTGAGAAACAGTGGGAAGCTCTAGCAATGTGGGTAGTGGGGATAAAAAATCAGGAAGAGCAGGCTGGGTGCCAAGGTGATTTTGTTAAAACCTAAGTCAGACCACGTCTCTCCTCTGCTCAAAACCCTCTAACAGCTCCCGTTCACCCACAGCAGAGTCCAAAGCTCTTACAATGCCCTGTGCGATCTGGCCTCCTCTAGACCCCTAAGCTTCTCCCTTGCTTACTCAGCTTTTCCTATAATACGCAGGCAGGTTCCTATGTCCAGGGATTTGCCCTTGCAGTTCCCTCTGCTGGGAACACTCTTCCTCAAATCTGCACATGGCCCATTTCCTCACTTCATCTGGGCCTCTTCTTGAATCTCACCTCCTCCAAAAGGATGCTGACCACTCTACTGCAAGTGGCACTGCTCTTCACTTGTACCCTTACACTGCTGAACTTCTCTGCTCTGCGTTTATCACTACCCAACTTCATGTTATATATTTATTGTCAATTCTTCCACTAGGATGTCAGTTCCATGAGAACAAGGACCTGGTCTGTTTTGCCCACTGCTATGTCCCAAGCTCCTAGAAAAGTGCCTGGCACTGTTTATTGGTTGGCACTCAATAAAAACATGCTGAATGAAAGAATCCATATGATGGAATACTATGCAGCCTTTAAAAAGAATGAAGTAGCTCTCGTGCTAATTTGGGAAATATAATTAAAAGGAGAAACAGTCTGTACAGTGTGATTCCTTTCGTGTAAATAAAGAAGGGCATATTATACATCCTTATTTATAGCTTTAATTATATCTTTATCTAAGTAGATAGATGTAAGGCCACTTTTTTTTTTCAACATATTCACAAAAAACTTAAGAGTAGGGACGAGCCCTGTGGCCGAGTGGTTAAGTTCACCTGCTCTGCTTTGGTGGCCCAGGGTTTCGCCGGTTCAAATCCTGGGTGTGGACATGGCACTGCTCATCCCAAGCCATGATGAGGTGGCGTCCCACATGCCACAACTAGAAGGACCCACAACTAAAAATATGCAATTATATACCGGGGGGCTTTGGGGAGAAAAAAGTAAAATAAAATCTTTAAAAAAAAAAAAAAAACCAATTTAAGAGTAGATGTCCTTAGGGAAAGGCACTGGGGAAGACTTTTTTTCTTTCTTTCTCTCATTTTAAAATTTTCTAGGGGCCAGCCCCACGGCCGAGTGGTTAAGCTTGCGTGCTCCGCTTCGGCGGCCCAGGGTTTCACTGGTTTGGATCCTGGGCACGGACATGGCACCACTCGTCAGGCCATGCTGAGGTGGCATCCCACATCCCACAACTAGAAGGACCCACAACCAAAAAAATATACAACTATATACTTGGGGGGATTTGGGGAGAAAAAGCAGAAAAAAAAAAAAGATTGGCAACAGTTGTTAGCTCAGGTGCCAATCTTTAAAAAAATAAATAAATAGGGGCCGGCCCAGTGGCATAGTGGTTAAGCACGCACATTTCGCTTTGGCGGCCCAAGGTTCACAGATTCCGATCCCAGGTGCAGCTATGGCACCACTTGGCAAGCCATGCTGTGGCAGGTGTCTCACATATAAAGTAGAAGAAGATGTGCACGGATGTTAGCTCAGGGCCAGTCTTCCTCAGCAAAAAGAGGAGGATTGGCAGCAGATGTTAGCTCAGGGCCAATCTTCCTCAAAAAAAAATGAAATAAAAAAATAAAAAAATAAATAAATAAAATTTTCTAGCATGTAGGTTTTTTTAATGTGAGGGTGGTAAAATTGTGAGCCATTTGTTTCCTTTTTTATACTTTTCTATAATTAAAAAATGCTACCAAAAGAAACAACAGATGGTTAAATGAATTGCTCAGGACCACAACAGCTGGCAAGAGGCAGACACAAGTAGCTTACAGGCCAGAGAGTCCTAAACCAAGCTCTGTCTACTCCAGGTCATTTGAGATGCCGTCCGGGTGCAATGGTACCAGGCAAGCTGTGACAGTGACTGACGATGAAGGCTACCAAGCTGCAGGGGTAAAAGGGCAGGCTCTGCGTCCTGCGGTACCTCAGGCAAGCAGGAGCCATACTTTAAAAAGATGTCTTTGCATCATGCTAAGCCTCAAGCCCTTAATTTCTTTTTCAGCCTTTCCCTTTGTTGATTCCTTTGTCCTGAGCACAAGACAGGCCTGCAGCCTTGACCTGCAGACAGAAAACTGCGGGAACTCCAGGGCTGGAGTCATCAGAAAGCATCACTGGGGGAAATCTGAGAACGTCCTTCTTTAAACACAGATAATCATCTGGGACGGTTTAGAAAGTCCTCGAGCAGCAACTTTCACTGGAACAGTTGCCTGAGGCAAACCCTCCTTGCCATCAAACAGTACGGGGGACAAGATGGAGGCGTATGTGAGGGTGAGGGTTTCAGTTCTCCAGGAACAGGTGGAAAATTAGCAAACGCTGTCCTTCTAGCCAACAGTCTATGTGAGCTCATTCAGTGTAAAAAGGGAAGACAAGGAGGACGACTACGGCTTAGCGAAATCTCCTGGAGGAGGAAGGAGACGGGGCAGGATGGCGAGCCATGCTCATTCAGTGATCACTGACCCTGAGGGCTGACCAGGTGAATCCACCCCTTTGAGGCTCATGGGGAAACAGAGGTCAGAGCCACTGTATGTGGATTTTCTGGGTGCTTGCTATGTGCCAGAACTGTGCTAGACGCTGGGAAACATCAATGAAGCAAACAGACAACAATCTTGGCCCTTGGGAGGCTCACGTGCTATTGGGGAGAGAAAGACTGTAAGGACAAGGTAAGGAATGAGTAAGCCACAGGGAGCAACACTGAAAAGGCCGCAGAGAAGAGAGCAGGGTGAGGCTGGGAGTCCCGGGAACTCAGTTCACTGGCTGATTAGATACCGTCCGTGACTACTGTTCAATGCTGACTATTCCTTTTTTTTTGCCCAGCCAGAAAGAACTCCTTTGGGAGTGGGGAAGGGAGTTATCACCTTCTCTTAAAAAACCGTCAGTTACTGGGGCTGGCCCCGTGGCCGAGTGGTTAAGTTCGCGCACTCCGCTGCAGGCGGCCCAGTGTTTCGTTAGTTCGAATCCTGGGCGCGGACATGGCACTGCTTGTCAGACCACGCTGAGGCAGTGTCCCACATGCCACAACTAGAAGAACCCACAACGAAGAACACACAACTGTGTACCAGGGGGGCTTTGGGGAGAAAAAGGAAAAAATAAAATCTTTAAAAACAAACAAACAAAAACAAAAACAAAAACAAAAACCGTCAGTTACTGAGCACCCACAAGTGCCAGACATCCTGCTAAGTGTTAAAATAAAAACAGGCTTAACCAGTGGGCTTACTGCTTGGAGACGCTCATGATGATAATAACGATTGTAATATGAACAGTGGTGCGGCTACCACTTACTGAGGTACTTCACATTGATCATCTTTCTCCACTCGTAGAACAATGGACGAGCTACTATTATAAGCTCCCTTTTCTGAAGAAACTGATTCTCTGAGAGGTCAAGTAACTTGGCTCAAGGTCTCGGAGCTGTTAAGTAACCTTAGGGACAAGTAAGCACACAAGGGTCATCTAGGAACCAAAGGCAGTGTCGGGGCCCTATCTAGATCTGATGAGAATACCAACTAGAAACAAACAAGATGCAGGAGACAATGGGCGGATCTGAAGGTTGACTGCATATTTTAATTTTAGATATGATAATGCATTGTGGTTTGATAAGGGGAAAATTTCTTTATCTTGTAGAGATACATAGCTAGGTATCTAGGAACGAAATGATAGGCTATCTGAGATTTGGTTTAAAATAATCCAGTGTGCAGAGCAGTGAGGAGAAGTGGGCAGGGTACAGACAAACAATTTGGTCATGGGCAGATAACCATTGAAGTCAGATTTTTTTTTTTTAATTGAGGAAGATCATCCCTGAGCTAACATCTGCTGCCAATCCTCCTCTTTTTGCTGAGGAAGACTGGCCATGAGCTAACATCCGTGCACATCTTCCTCTACTTTGTATGTGGGACGCCTACCACAGCATGGTTTTTGCCAAGAGGTGCCATGTGCACACCCGGGATCCAAACTGGCAAACCCCGGGCCGCTGAAGTGAGATGTGCGCACTTAACTGTTACACCACCGGGTTGGCCCCATGAAGTCAGATGTTCTTAAGAATTATGAAAAAAAAAAAGAGAGAGAATTACATATTAAATAGTAAAAGAAAAATATGAAAAAAAAAATAACCCACTAGGGGCCAGCCTGGTGGCACAGCAGTTAAGTTCACACATTCCGCTTTGGTGGCCTGGGGTTTGCTAGTTCAGATCCCAGGTGTGGACCTACACACCACTTGTCAAGCCATACTGTGGCAGGCGTCCCACATATAAAGTCGATGAAGATGGGCACAGGTGTTAGCTCAGGGCCAGTCTTCCTCAGCAAAAAAGCAAGTGGAGGATTGGCAGTAAATGTTAGTTCAAGGCTAATCTTCCTTAAAAAAACACAAAAAACAAAACCTCGCTGGGCTTTGAATCAATCAAGGGAGGTTCCAGCCCCAGCTTTTCCACTGTAAGATCTTAAGCAAGTCACTTCCCCTCTCGAGGGCTTTATTTCTTTCTAAGACAAAGATTACACTAGATCAGCACTTCACAAAGCTTTTACTCGACCCTCCCCCTGCCAAAAACAAAGGTTCCACGGTTAACTGTTTCACAAATACTGGTTGAGCAGGTTTCTTTACCGCAGGACTTTTCAGAGCCTGAGATATGTTCATGTGTATGTGAATCTCCAAGGTTCCAAGGCTAGGGGTGAGGGGACAGTATTTTCTGCCCCTGTCTGACCCCTGAAGCCTTCTAATGATGAAAACACCAACTTGCGGAAGATTGATCTGGAGGGTCCTTGAGGCCCCCTCAGCTCTAACAAGCTGTACTTCTGCAATGAGGTCTCACTGCTCAGGCAGGACTAGGGTGAGGGAAGAGGAAGAGGATGAGGACCTGGAGGCCCTCACAGTTTAGATCAGATTGGGAAAGGCTTTGAAAGCCACATTAAGGACTGCAGACTTCATTATGCAAAGTAAACAGTTGAGAGGAGCAGTATGACGTATGATCCATGATCCACGTCACGCCCCAGAAGTGTACTCCAGGGCAAGCTGGAGTCTGGGCTGGGAGAATGGAGGTAGAGATGCTGCTGCTGTAACAAGGCATGAAAGGCCAAGACCTTGCTCTGGGACTGGAGAAGAAAAGACACACAGGCCAAGGGATGAGGAAGAGGCCAAGAGACTTACAAGCTACAGTCTCAGATGCTTAGGAGATGCTCTAAAAGAAATGGGGAAGGGGCCAGACTGGCGGTGCAGTGGTTAAGTTCACACGTTCCACTTCAGTGGCCTGGGGTTCGCCAGTTCAGATCCCAGGTGCAGACCTTACACACTGCTTGGCAAGCCATGCTGTGGCAGGCATCCCACATATAAAGATGGGCAGTGGATGTTAGCTCAGGGCCAGTCTTCCTCAGCAAAAAGAGGAGGATTGACGGCAGATGTTAGCTCAGGGCTAATCTTTCTCAAAAAAAACCCAAAAACACAAAAAACTAATTTTGAGTGTTTGAAAATAGACGCTTAGCCTCCCCTGGGAGGGTCACAGGATCTCCCAAACCCAGTTCAACTCACCCAGCATGCACTAAGCACCTGCCTTACGTCATTACTTATAACCACAGCTTTGGAAAGAAGTACAAGGCCCGCGATGACTTCAAGGAACCAGCTAGGTGACAGAGGCACGAGACAGACACATATAAAACAGCATGAACAACAGAAAACTGTAAATGGTTATGGGCCAAAATGAGAGCTGCAGATCAGACCATCTCTTGGGAGCTGAGAGGAAGGGGAGGCCACCTCGCACTGAAGCAGTTTGGGAAGGCTTTCTGAAAGAGGCGGCCCAGGGCTGGAGCTCGAGGGCTGGGCAGGACTGAGGGTAGTCTGACAGGATGGATGGGGTGGGGGCAGAGATGAGAAAGACAAGAAAGAACCGAGGCAGGGACACCAGACAGAGGTCTCCTGAAAAGCAGTGTCTCCACCCACAGGCAAACCCATTCCCACAGGTGTAGGCTCGACGAGGAGACTAAAGACTGGTTCTACAGTCTAGGCACCTTCCTGCAGAACGTTCTCATAGGTGACCACACGGATGTCCTAAGGACACGCACTGCGGCGTCGCTCCCAAGAGTGAAAAGTCGAACAACCACAGTGTCCAGCACTGGCAAGTGGATTAACTGAGAGAAGGTACCTTCAGCCCATGGGACACTACAGCCGTCAGAAGAATGAAGTGAATGTGGAGAGATCGCCGTGACGTACTAGGGATGAAAAAATGCAATTCTATGGTTTACGACTATTTATGGAAAACAAAACAAAACTAAATGAACGTATAAGCGTATGTCTGTCAGTGTATGTAAAAATCTAAAAGGATATATACCAAAATTACACTGTGCTCGTGTCTGCAGAAAAGAGCAGGATGAGAGAAAAGGCAAACTCTCACTTTTGAATCTCCAGAGCCCTGTGCTGGCTAAGTCTGCCATGAACACTTATCCTGCGTTAAGAAGACGGCAAGCCCCCATCCAGCCTTGTGGGTCACATGCCTTGGACAAAGGATGCAAAAATCACCAAAACAGAGAACCATCACATTTCACAGTTAGAAACCTCGGAGATGTTCTCGTTCAAGCCTCCAGAACCTCAGAAGCACGTGACAGGGAGAAGGGGGAGATCGGCACTGAGACAGGGGAAGGCGCCGGAGAGGAACCAACAAAGTGAGCGCCCTCTTTTAGTGCACTGTTGGGCTGAGATCTTGGGAAGATCAGCTCATTACCAATTTTTAACACGTGCAAACTAGGGGTGCTGCTCCCCCTCCTCTCAGCCTGGTCAACACTGATTCTTTCTTTAAGACTGGGCTTTAACGTTGCCTCTCTCTTCAAATAAAATTAACTTTTAATTAAGTCACCAAATTAATTCTAGCAACTTTTTAGACAATTCATAGCCAAAAATTAAACGATTAAAGCAACCTATCCTAATGCCCAGATACAGCCACAGTGAACTTTTTTTTTAAATAGGACTGTGGAAGACAGTTTTGTAAACTACTATTTTTATTAAACACTACCTTGTGAAAGATTTTCCATGTCATTACATTTTCCTGGAGAGCAGCTTTTATAATTACTGCATAATTTGAAAAATAAGAGCAACCTTTTCTTGAGGCACTTTGCTAAGCATTTCATTTACATTATATCAATCAATCTTCAAAACGAGCCTCCTCGACCAAAAAAAAAAAAAAAGCGCAGATGAGAGTGAAAAACTGCTGAGGAAGGGTTGTTGCTAGGGGTTGGGGAGAGATCAGGTACCTGGCCAAAGTCACCTATTTGGCAAGTGACACACTCGGATTCACACCCAGGTCCCCTAACTTAGAACCGGGAATTTTTCACGTTCCCTTGTAAAAACGGACCACAGCTCCTCGCCCTAATCTCCAGCTGCTGGGCAATTTGATTGTTGCTTATTTTTCTCTCTCGTAGACAGTGCTAGGATGGCTACAGTTAAACCTCTGTGATCACCGCCCTCCCAGCTAGATGCCTTTCCTGACCACTCCAGGCAAACTCTGCTTCTCAAGCCCCCTGCCGCAAAAGACCTATCTTTACTTTCAATCCATCGTGGACAGATATTTTTGTCAAATACAATGAAAATTAACTCCTAGAAACAGGAAATGAAAAAACACAAAGAAAATATAAGCCCCAAATAGTTAAAACGGTAAATTTTATGTTATGTATATTTTACACATACATTTATGTTAAAAAAAAAAATACAAGCCCCATTTAAAAAAATTAGTAGAGGCTGGCCCAGTGGTTAAGTGTGCATGTTCCGCTTCAGCAGCCTGGGGTTCGCCTGTTCGGATCCCGGGTGTGGACATGGCACCGCTTGTCAAGCCATGCTGTGGCAGGCGTCCCACATATAAAGTAGAGGAAGATGGGCACGGATGTTAGCTCAGGGCCAGTCTTCCTCAGCAAAAAGAGGAAGATTGGCAGCAGATGTTAGCTCAGGGCTAATCTTCCTCAAAAAAAATAAATAAGTAAAATAAATAAAAAATGAATTAAAAAAATTAGTAGATTCAAAAGACTTTGTCAAATAAAAGTTTCTGTACTTATCGTGTAGAGGACCAGACAAGTTTGGGGACCATGGCCGGGATGCAGACGCTCTTCCAGCTGTACCTCAATTATTCTCTGCCTGACGATCTGTTTACCCAGCCTCCCGTCCCAGAGTGTGTGGCCCGCCCATGTCTGCTTCACTCCTGAATGCTCTGGCTCAGTGCCCAGCGCACACTTGCTGACTCTGGACTGAAGGAATGTTCAAGGACCGTCTCTGGCCTCAGCTGCTGAGAGAGGCTACTCACCATTAGGGACCAGAAGGAGGCTTTTCACGATGCTTCTGAGGGGGCTGAGACTGATCTGATTGGTGGTGGCAAATTCCGAGAGCTGCGCCAGAAACCTCTCCACCTGCCAAGAGGGAACAGCACAAACCAGGCCTTCACTTTCTGAGCATCTCAGAAGGGTGGACCCACGCTCGGGAGCTCTTCTTATCCAAGATACTTTACCTCTTTCGGCTCAGTTAGGAAGTGGAAAAGCACTTCTGTCAGGGCTGAGAACTGCTGTAAAGAGAGTAACACAGAACATCAGTAAAATTCTACTCCTGGGGCAGGGCTCCCCCATCCCATCCAACCACAGACGCTTGTGAGAGAAGAACACGCAGGCGCTGATACCTGTTGATCCTCTTAAAGTTACAAATAATCACAATACCCACCACCAGTGTCAATCTATCTGTATCACTATATTGTCTGAAAAACCCACGTTTTACTGGGATACTTGGGAGATCTATATTGAGAGATTGTGAGTGTGTGTGCACACGTGCACAAATACATCTCAAGGGTCCAAATCCATACACACACACATACACACACACACACACACACAAACACACAAAGCCAAAAAGGGAAAAATCACTGGAACACTAATAGCTGTTACTTCCGTTTTTTTCTTTTTGTTTATACTTCCACATATTTATTATTCAAAATACACTAATCCAAATATATAATTCACCCCCCCCCCAAATGGTAAAATACTATAAAAACTTCTTCTCTACCTTGCTTTTTAAACTAGTTACTTCTGTGTGGCGAATTTCTGGGTGATTTTTATTTTCTTCTGTTTTGTCCATCCATATTTTCTGTGGTTTCCCATCGCCCCCCACAATAAGCATCTCACTATGCATATGACAAAACAGTAAGCTTAACACTTTATTACACACTGTCTTAGAACAGTCTCTTATTTTTCTGTGCATGTTAATCTTCTCCTTAGGTACTGTATTGTTAAGGACTGAATATTTGTGTCCCCCAAAATTCATATATTGAAGCTCTAACTCCCACTACTACTGTATTTGGAGACACGGCCTATGAGGAAGTGATGAAGGTTAAATGAGGTCATAAGGGTGGGGCCCTTATCTGATAGGGCTGGTGCCCTGTAAGAAGAGGAAGACAGCCCAGAGCTCTCCCTCTGTGAGGCACATGTCACGATGACACAGAGAGAAGGCAGGCCAGGAAGAGAGCTCTCAACAGGAAGTGAATCTGCTCGCCTCGTGATCTTGCACTTACTAGCCTCCAGAACTGTGCGAAATAAATTTCTGTTGTTCAAGCCACCCTGTCTTTGGTATTTTGTCATGGCAGCCCAAGCAGACTGAGACACGTGTCACTACTGTCCCATGTTCCCTTTAATGGACACAGTGTGTGCGGCAGAGGGGAAAACCAAGACAGAGGAGTTTAAAAGACCCAGATGTGAAGCAGTGTTTTGATACTGACCATCCATGCGACCTCGGGCAACGCAGCCTCTCTGCGTCTCAGTCCTCACAGGGGAAACAAAGGCAATAACATATGACTTCCAGAACAGTACGCAGGTGGCACGAGCAAAGCCTCCTGCACAGAGCCAGGCCAGAGGCTAAACAAATGGTAGCAATTATCAGAGCCATAAGTGAAGTCACTACACCATTTGATCCACCTTCCTGAAGCAATAGAACACACACACACACAAATAAATTACAGGCAGATACTTCAGCTCAAAGTCCCCAAAGTTATACAAGCAATACGATTGTCAGAGTGAGGGAGACGGGAAAGGGGTGACTAGGCACGCGTGTGGTGATGGATCGTAACTAGTCCTCGGGCGGTGAACATGATGCAATCTACACAGAAATCGAAATATATAACAATGCACACCTAAAATTTATATAATGTTATAAACCAACGTTACGACAATAAAAAGTAAATAAATAAATAATGAAAGGAAAAAGAAGTAATGTGATTGTCAAATGTACCCACCTCTCTCACCACGACACACTCAAATCCACACACACACCCGGCACAGCTCTGTGTTATTTTATTCTAAAATGTATTCTATTTTAGAATATAAAACTAGTATTTGAAAATATAGAAGTAATATATGTGCAAAGTTTTGAAAAGACTCAACTGACATAAAATACAAAATAAAACGTCTCTCTCCCTGCCTGCCCGCCTCAGTCTCACTACCCAAAGGTCGTTACTTAGCACGTCTGTGGCCTTCCCATCATTTTATTTAATTTCTTTTAAATACAAAAGGGGTCAAACTGAACCCAGTCCTTGTACCCTGCCTTTTTTCACTCAATTACATCTTAGAGATCAATCATGTCAGCAATTATAAACCTATCCAGTTCTTTTAACCACTGCATGGTGTTCGATTGTATAGACTTAGCATAATTTAGCTCCCTAGAGAGGAACATTAGACTGTGTGTGTGTTTTGTTGCTGTTATTATAAACAATGTTGCAATGAATATCCTCCCACACATGACACGTATGTCTATAATATAAATTCTTCAAATGTATCCTAGGTCAAAGGATATATGCATTTTGAATTCTGAGAAAATGTTGCCAAATTGCCTTGCAAAGAAGTTGCACAGATTTACACTCCCACTAGCCAATAGCATAGAAGTGTCTGCTCTCTCAAAGCTTAAATCATTCATACTCGTGGGAAACTTTTTTTTTTATACATGATTTTTTTGTTTTGTTTTTGAGGAAGATCAGCCCTGAGCGACCATCTGCCGCCAATCCCTCCTCTTTTTGCTGAGGAAGGCTGGCCCTGAACTAACATCCGTGCCCATCTTCCTCTACTTTTTATATGTGGGATGCCTGCCACAGCATGGCTTGATGAGCAGTGCCATGTCCGCACCCGGGATCCAAACCGGCGGACCCAGGGCCGCCAAAGCAGAACGTGTGAACTTAACCACTGTGCCACTGGGCCAGCCCCTCCTGGGAAACATTTTAACCAATGCTGATCCAGGGGTTGTCTTTCTGCAATATTTATGACATTGGGTATTAGTCTTGCATAACTGCTGATTCGATGCAGTGAAAACAAGAACAGTCAGGACTGGCTTGGGAATATGTCCTCAAAAGTGTTTTAGTTTTCTCTTTTTTCTTTGAAATTTTTTGCTGCAAATCTGTAGAACTGTCAGATCTTTGGCCAACTGTATTTCCCATGCTACCCAGGGCCTTTTCAAAAAGAGGGTGGTGGAGCAGCTCTCCAGCTGCCTTTCCATTTCCAGGCCTCAGTCAGGCTCAGCCTCCTTGTGAGGTCTCCCATCTCTCCTTTCAAGAGGGGCCTCAAGCTAATCTGGATAGGCTGTTACTACCCCCATCCTTATCTCCACTTTCCCAAACCCTCCTTATCCTTCAGAGCCCTGCCAAGATACCATGACACTCCCAACAAGAAAGGGACCTATCCAAATTCTTAACTTCTAAGCCTCCCTCTTGGAACCTTGCCTGGGGGCACTCAGAATTTTCAGTCTTGATAAGGAACACAAACGCATCTTAGCAGAGAAGGTTCCTTGTATGGTCACAGCACCTTAATTAATGTAAGTGCCCCGTAAGCATTTGTTGAATAAATATCCCCTAAACACCTTCCCCATTCTTTGCCCTTGTACCTGCCTAGCTGTCTCTCCCTGGAATGCTCACCTGCCCATGACTATCCACGAAATCAAAATCTTAACTATTCTCGTCAGTAAACATATGAAAAGATGCTCAAGACTATTCCAGATAAGAAATGCAAATCAGTAAAACGAGGAGATATCATTTTCATTTATCAGATCTTCAAAAATAAAAGTTTAATGACACCAGTGATGGTGAAAGTACAAGAAAACAGACCTGCCCACACGCTGTTGAGAGGATAAACTGGGGCGACCTCTCTGGATGGCAATTTGGCAATCAGAATCTAATTTTTAACCGATCATACCTCTTGATCTAGTAATTCCATTGCAAGTATACCCTTCAGATAGGTTCCAAAAAGTAAACCCAGACAGATTTACACAAAGCAGTTTGTTGACAGCCCTGTTTGTCATAAAAACGAAAAACCTGAAAGCAACTTAAGTGTCTATTAATAGGCTGCTGATTAAATAAATTATGGTAGATCCATTTCAAGGAATATCACACAATCTCTTTTGTGTAAAAAAATTTTTAGGGGCCGGCCCCATGGCCGAGTGGTTAAGTTCATGTGCTCCACTGTGGCAGCCCAGGGTTTTACCGGTACAACTCCTGGGCAGAGATATGGCATCGCTCGTCAAGCCATGCGGAGGTGGCAACCCACATGCCATAACCAGAAGGATTCACAACTAAGAATATATAACTATGTACAGGGGGGCTTTGGGGAGAAGAAGGAAAAAAATAAAATCTTTTAAAAAAAATTATTTTTAAAGGATATCCATATATATGACAGCAGATGTAGACTTTTATTTCTATAAAAATACAAAGGAAACTATTAAAATGATGATTTCTGGGGACAAGAGAAACAGGTATTTTGTATCTTTAAATACTGTTTGAATTTTCTAATCATGTGTGTTGCTTTCATTTACAGCTAGGTGAGAGGACTGTAGTCCATTCATTTTCTTCTTTATATTTTTCTGAATTTCCTCTCTCATAACCATTCTAAAAATGATTATTTTGGGGGCCAGTCCCGTGGCCAAATGGTTAAGTTTGCACGCCATGCTCTGGCAGCCCAGGGTTTTACTGGTTTGGATCCTGGGCGCGGACATGGCACCACTCATCAGGCCACGCTGAGATGGCGTCCCACACGCCACAACTAGAAGGATCCATAACTAAAATACACAACTATCGGGGCCAGGCCCATGGCTGAGTGGTTAAGTTCGCATGCTTTGCCTCGGCGGCCCAGGGTTTCACTGGTTCGAATCCTGGGTGCGGACCTATCACCATCCATCAAGCCATGCTGAGGTGGCATCCCACACGCCACAACTAGAAGGACCCACAACTAAAATATACATCTATGCACTGGGGGGCTTTGGGAAGAAGAAGGAAAAATAAAATCTTTAAAATATACAACTATGTACTGGGGGGATTTGGGGAGAAAAAGCAGGGAAAAAAAAGACTGGCAACAGTTGTTAGCTCAGGTGCCAATCTTCAAAAAATAAAATAAATAAAAATGATTATTTTTAACCCTACCTATTCTCACTTACCTAGGACTGACCACCGGCATCAGAGAACACACGCAGATACACTGAATACTGCATCGCGTCTCCATTTTCTGACCTACCCCATCAGATCCAAATTTCCCCAGCACAAGAGGCTGCATCCACCGTTAAGTGCGCACGTTCTGCTTTGGTGGCCTGGGGTTCACCAGTTCAGATCCCAGGTGTGGACATGGCACCGCTGGGCAAAGCCATGCTGTGGTAGGCATCCCACATATAAAGAAGAGGAAGATGGGCATGGATGTTAGCTCAGGGCCAGTCTTCCTCAGCAAAAAGAGTATTGGCAGCAGTTAGCTCAGGGCTAATCTTCATCAAAAAAAAAAAAAAAGGCTGCGTCCATCAAGCCTTTATAAACCTCACTGGGTTTAGTGGCTATTTGGTGAATAGCAGGCATTCAGATAAATAGCCACTGAATGAGTGATAAATGGTGATGCCAATATTAACACAAGGACTCTTTTTCTCCTTGAGGCCTGGGCCTCAGACTTCCAAATAAATTCAGCTAACAGAGTGGGTCCTTGGAGAAGTTTGATTACCCAACAAAGCGGGGGGAAATGGCCCAAAGGACTCTGGTAAGTTGCTCATCAGGAAAAACCTTTCCATATTAAACATAAAGGTAAAGGTTTAGAGTGTGTTTCCAGGTTAGAAAAGGAGCCAGGCTCTGATCTTTAAGGAAGCGGTTTACATTTTCCATGAATACCAAGTTGGAGGTAAGCTTACGGATCTTAACGACCCAGTAGCTTAAAAAAAGTTCTTTAGCAGCAGAATCTTTTTATTCTCCAAATGGAAGTCTTCCAGAAAATCCTGACACATAAACAAGTAAAAGCTAAGCCACCTGGCTGGGGAGAGCATCCACAAAGCTCTGTTCTATCTAGTGTGTTTAATACCCCGGGATCTGAAGTCAGGCATCCGGTCCCGAATTCCCGGCCCCATCACTTCCAGGCTGCCTGACCTTAAACAGGTCAATTCATTTCCCTGAACCACTTTTTGTATCTGTAAAATGGGAATAAGAATAGCACCTACCTTTTAGGGTCTTTACACATAAAGCACTTAAAACAGTGCCTGCCACGTGGGACATGCTCAATAAATGACAGCTATTTTTATTTAACCACTGTGATTCAGTTTCTTCATCTGTAAAATGGGAATAATAATGGTACCCACCTTCTAGAGGGGTTGCAAGGACTCAGTGACTTAATATACATAAAAGCACTTAGAACTGTGCTGTCCAGTACAGTGGCCACTAGCCACATGTGGCTACTGAGCTCATGAAAAGGGCTAGTCTAATTTGAGATGTGCAGTATATGTAAAATACACACCAGAATCAGAAAACTTAGTACCAAAAGGTAAAATATCTCATTGATATTTTTTACACGGATTATATGTTGAAACAATACTTTGATACGGTGGATTAAAGAAAACATATTAAAATTAATATCCAATTTCTTTTTAATTTTTATTTATTTTTTTTCGAGTGTGGTTTTTTTTTTAAGATTTTTTTTCCTTTTTCTCCCCAAAGCCCCCCAGTACATAGTTGTATATTCTTCGTTGTGGGTCCTTCTAGTTGTGGTATGTGGGACGCTGCCTCAGCGTGGCTTGATGAGCTGTGCCATGTCCGCGCCCAGGATTCGAACCAACGAAACACTGGGCCGCCTGTAGCGGAGCGCGCGAACTTAACCACTCGGCCACAGGGCCAGCCCCTCTTTTTTTAATTTTTAAATGTGATCACTAGAAAATGTAAAATTAGACACGTGGCTTACAATTCACTTCTGTTGGACACCAGTAGCCTTAGAACATGACTGGTATTACAATTAGTGTTACTTTATGAGAAACAATAAGTGGTGGGGGATGCTAAGATAAAGGAGAGGGGCCCCCCACCTCCTCAGAAGTTACAACTCAGTAGGGGAAACAGATGCACCTTTGCCGTGGTGGTGAGAAGTGTCATTTGAACCTATTTATTTTGGCTGCCTTGGTGGTAAGAAAGGGGCGTCCCAACCAGCACAGGGCCAGGAAGCCTCGGAGTTTAACTGGCTGGCACCTGCAGCGCGAAAAGGGAGAAAAAGGCTTTGCCAGCTCCACTACCATCAAGGACCACACTCCACTGTGTAGAGTGTACATAGTTTTTTTTCCTTGGGGACTATCCGTATTTCCCTCGATTGGGGGTGGGGGCGGGGGCGAGGAGAGGATGTCATCACCAGCCTCACCCTAGACCCTGCCCGCAGGCCCACAGAGCCCCACTCTGGCCTGGCCATTACCTACACCCACAGCGGCCCTCCAGATTACCCGCCCCCACTCCACGCTCCCCTCGGGATGCTAAGACCCTCCTCAGTGCCCCCAAGGCCCTCGGTCTCCCTACAGAGCGTCTGGGTCCCTCGCCTGGCCCACCAAGGCCCACGGCTCCCCAAGCTCCCTGAGCCTCCCAGCGCCCCGAACTCCCTTCGGCCTCATCAAGACTCCCCTCAGTCCCTCTTCCAGGACCTCGCGGACTCTCCTCGTTCCCAGGACTCCCGGAAGTCCCCAACCCCACCTCTGGGTGCCCACAGCCCTCGGGGACCCCTCAGCTTGCCCTCGGGCCTCCCGAGATCCCTCGGCCCCCAAAAGGCGCCTGAGACCCCAAGACCCCTAAGCCTGCACCCGAGGCCCCCTAAGGCCACAAGGCCCCCGGGCGGCCCCCGGCCTAACCCGCGCCCGCGTCGGGCCCACCTGCACGCCCAGCTGGTTCAGCTGCTGCATGTCGCCGCCCACGGCCTCCGGCACCGGGTCCTGCGTGCAGTGCAGGCGGCCCATGGCGCCCGCCCGCCGGCCCGAGCGCCCGCCGCCGCCCAGCTTCCTCCCGCGCCGCCCGCCTCGCCGCGCTTCCGCAGCCGCACTTTCGCCACGGCCGCCCGCCGCCGCAGAGCTCCTCCCTCCGGCGGCCCGGGCGGCGTGGGGGCGCCCTCGCGGACGCGCGCGGACCCCCGGGTGGGGGCGAGGGCCACCTCAGGGACGCGAGCGGACCGCTGCGCCGTGAGGAGGGCCCTGAGGCACAGAGCGGGCAAACGGGAGACTCCCTGCCGGATCTCCCGCTGGGTGATCCCTGGGCACGGAGCTTGGCCTCTCGGAGCCGCAGTTTCACTATTCGTAAAATGATCCCAGGGGTGGCGCCTTAAGTGAGCTAACCCTCCTGAAATGTTTAGAACGTAGGCTGGCACCCAGGAGGTCTTCAGTCAATGGCTAGCTGCTATCATCAACATCGGTACCACGCATTCAGTAGATATTTATTGCACGCCTGCTAGATGCCAGGCGCTGGGGATGGAGCAGTGAACGACACGACGCAGACCGGTCTCTGGGGGAGAGCTTAGGTCAGAGCAGAGCAGTAACGTCTCAAACCTGGGCTTGCCTCAGCATCAGCTGGCGGGCCCGCTGTAACGCCAGTTGCTGGGCCCCACCCCCAGCGTCTCTGACTAGAATGGCCTGGGGTGGAGCCTGAGAATTCGCAGTTCCAAGGACATCCCAGGGACCACACTTTGAGAACCTCTGCGATGGAGGAAACTGACTCGAAGGAGCGCAAGGACTGTGATTATGCCGGGGAGGGCAGTGGTCAGGTTGGGGAGGGGACATTATTGGGACAGTGACAATCACTGCAGCCCCTGAAACACTTTAACCCCCATGCTGTCTTCCCAAGGACCCCTGGCAGCCCCAGGTGAGTATTATCCTGATCCCCATTGGACGGATGAGAAAACGGAGGCATGCTCCCTGGAACCCAGGACCTGACCGCCAAGCCCAACAGCTTCTTCACCTACCCCGGAGCCCAGTCTTGGGGGGGGGGGGGGAGGGGAGGATTGGCTGGCTTTCCCCACCAGGCTTTCTTGTCTATCCTTCCCTAAACATCCCTTCTAGAAAGAGATGAACAAAATGTTTCCTATCCAGAGGCCAAGAGCCTCCACTTTACTCATTGCTTCATTCATAGATTCATTCAACAAATACTGAGTACCTACTGTGGGGTAGATGCCCTGACAGGTGCTGAGACAACACAGTGACAAAACCAGACGCAGAGCCCAGCCTGGGAGAAGTCAGCCTGGGAGTTTAGTGGCAGAAGTGGACTCATGCCTGTGAAATTCACATGTGCGTGAAATTAACTGATGCCAAGAAGTACAAAGTACTCTGAGAATGTATAAGGGGCACTTGCCCAAGTCCAAGATACCTGGAAAAGAGTGAACCTTTGGGTTCACCCTACTAGACAGGGGCTGAACTCAGACCCCCTGACTCACTGTCCAAGAATTTTTATTTAGAAATATTGTTAACCTTTTAAAAAAGATCCCTGTCATGGGCATTATATTTCTTCATATTGTTAAGTTAAATCAACTTGGTTAGGGTATAATTTATACACAATAAAGTGCACTCATTTTAAGTGTATTTTTTAAAATTATTTTTAAGCTTTTTTTTTTTTTAAACATCCTTGAGGAAACCACTGAATTTCCTTCATTTCTCCTCCCACCAGTGGCGGGTGCTGAGGCACTCAATAAATATTTGTGGAATTGAATTAGCCCATGTGACAGAAAATAGAGAAAAGGAAAGAAATTCACTTAAAATGGCTGCCCAACACTGCAGTAAGATAGGCGTTGTTTCGTCTTCCAGTCCTTTTCCACACCACAGGTACTTGGGGCCTCTGGGATTGGTTTTTACATATTCAGGGCTCTCCCACTTCTCCAAGCCATTTAATTTCTGATACTCAGAGATACTCAGAGCATGGTCCCTGGGCCCCCAGCATGGACATCACTTGGGAGGTTGTTAGAAATGCAGATGCTCAGGCCTACCCGAGCCCTGCTGGTTCACGATCTGCTTTTCAGGATCCCCGGGTGATTCCTGGGCACGTTCAAGTTTGAGGTACAAATAACAACCACCGTTTATAGGTGCCTACCACGACGTGCCAGGCTTTATTTTAGGCGCCTGAGTACACAGCACATCTAATGATGATACTTTGTCTGCCTATTGTTGCTCATGCTATTTCTGTTTTAATGTTTATCACCTTGTGTTAGTGCTGTTGTTTACACGTCTCCCCCACTTACTAATTATGTGGTCATGGGCAAATTACTAACCTTTCTGTGTCTCCATTTCTTTTTTCATTTGTAAAAATGGAGACAACAATAGAACCTACCTGAAAAGATGAAATGAGACAATGCTCATGAAATACTTGGCACAGCCACTGGCCCATCATAAGTGCTCAATAAAAGCTTATCTTATTATTATTCCAATTTTTCAATCTTATACAAAGAACCAGGCAACAAGCAACCATGTGCACAATTCTTTTTCCATATCTGATTATTTCTTTAGGAGAAATTCCCAGAAGGGTCGAGGGATACTATGATCAGACTTTGTAGATTCTAAATAGCAGGAGGATGGACGGACTTCCAAGGGAGAGAGACGCTAGACCATGACTGACGTCTCTGAGAGCAACTGGACATTAGCATTTAAGCCTGGACAGAGACCTAGTGGCAGGTTCAATTCCATGAGGACCCGGCTCTCCTTCCAACCCGCATCCCCTCACCCCAAGAAGAATTCCAAGTCCTCCAAAAGCAACTCAAAATCTAAATCTCAGACAAGGCCATTCTTCGCTTCAATTATAAAGGCCGCATAAACATCGTCAGAAAATGCTGCATAATATTCTACTGAGGGAGAGTATAACAATGCTCATAACTAATCCCCATGGTGGCCTAGTTAGGTCTTTACAATTTTTCAGTTTTATTAAGAACTTTGCAACTAACAAAGACAATAGATAAAAATCATCTAGGGGTGGCCTGGTGGCGCAGTGGTTAGGTTCGTATGTCCCGCTTTGGCGTCCCTGGGTTCGCCGGTTCGGATCCCGGGTGTGGACTTTCAAGTCCCTTGTCAAGCCATGCTGTGGCAGGCATCCCACATATAAAGTAGAGGAAAGAAAGATGGGCACTGATGTTAGCTCAGGGCCAGTCTTCCTCTGCAAAAAGAGGAGGATTGGCGGCAGATGTTAGCTCAGGGCTAATCTTTCTCAAAAAAAAAAAAAAACCATATAAAAAAATCTTTCCAACGTTCTCCTTCACAATCCTCTCTTGGAAGGAAGGAGCGGTGATTTCTGTTAATGCGATAACTTTGTCGCAGGAAATGCAGACCTGGGGCAGGCCTCCCTTCTAGAGAACTCCCGCCCCCAGCAGCTCCCATTTCAGCCTTAATGAGGGACCTTGCTCCCTTCATTCACTTTAAAATGTCCCTGTGGAAGGCAAAGGAGGCCTCCCTACCCCCACCCCTGCAAGTGAAAGGCGTTCATTAAGTAGTCCTTTCTCAGGCACGAGGATTCCCGCTGGGAATTTCACTGAGAGGCCAGGTTCTGCCTAGGAGAAAGCTTGATCCCTCACGCTCTGAAATGCCAAAGGGCATTTTTTAAAATTAAACTTTTTATTTTGAGATAACTGTAGACCCACATACAGTTGTAAGAAATAATACAGAGAGCTCCCTGATACTCTTTACCTAGTTTCCCTCGATGCACAGATCCCATCTTGCAAAGCTGTATACAATGTCACAACCAGGATATTGACAGAGTTATAGAACGTTTCCACCACCACAAGGGTCCTGCATGTCGCCCAAGGGCATTTTAACAGAAGGGACAGTCTCCAGGTCCTCCTCCGACCAAAAACTGGAAAAAAAAATACTGTGGACATTTTCGTGTTTTCATTTATTGCTGTCCTCATCATGCCTTCAATATTAGCTCCTTTATTATAAAATCACATAATAAAAATGCAAAATTATAGTTGGTCTATACCTTCAAAATACCTACTTCATGACAGTAATCAACAAGGGAAGGCTGGGGAATTTTTCCAGATTAAAAGAAACCAAAAATACAAGATAACTAAATTCAATGTGTGATCCTGGGTGGAGGTAAAGAATTGCTATAAAAGATATTATTGAGGGGCTGGCCCCGTGGCCGAGTGGTTAAGTTCACGCGCTCCGCTGCAGGTGGCCCAGTGTTTCGTTGGTTCGAATCCTGGGCGCGGACATGGCACTGCTCATCAAACCACGCTGAGGCAACGTCCCACATGCCACAACTAGAAGGACCCACAACGAAAAATATGCAACTATGTACCGGAGGGGTTCTGGGGAGAAAAAGGAAAAAAATAAAATCTTAAAAATAAAAAAAGATATCATTGGGGGCCAGCCTGGGGGTGCAGCGGTTGGGTTCGCACGTTCTGCTTCGGCGGCCCAGGGTTCGCTGGTTTGAATCCTGGGCGCAGACCTACGCACTACTTGGCAAACCATGCTGTGGCAGGCATCCTACATGTAAAGTAGAGGAAGATGGGCACGGATGTTAGCTCAGGGCCAGTCTTCCTCAGCAAAAAGAGGAGGATTGGCAAGCAGATGCTAGCTCAGGGCTAATCTTCCTCAAAAAAAAAAAAAAGATATTATTGGCACAAAATGTGAATATACTTAACACTAGTGAACTCTAAACTTAGAAATGGTTAAGATGGTACATTTTGTGTTATGTGAGTTTTTTTAACCATAATTAAAAATTGGGACAAGTGATGAAATTTGAAACATGACAGTAGATTTGATAATATTGTATCAATGTTCAATTTCATCAACTTAATAATTGTATTTTGGTTATGTAAGAATGTCTCTGTTCTTAAGAAACATACACTGAAAATATTTAAGGTAAAGGGGGGCAAAATGGTTCAAGGAAAAAATGAGGAGGGAATAGCACAAATATGCCAAAAGTTAGCAATTGGTGACTCGGGGTAAAGGTAATACACCTTTGCAAAGGTATACACGAGGATACAAGTATTCTTTGTATTATTCTTGCAACTCTTTTGTAAATTTGAACTTATTTACAGAATAAATTTTAAAAGGAGTAAAAAAAGGTTAAATGATCTTTGTTCCCACCCTGTCACAAGGGAAATG